TTATCTCAGAAGTAACACAAAGCTACCTCGAATATCTCAAATCCAGCAATGTCGAGGATGCCAACGAAGGAAGCACCAGCTCGCTTTGCTCGATCAAGCGATTTATTAATCCTTGCAACCAGCCAACGAAAGAGCTTCTCGTAAATTGCTTTTGAAATTGCCTCAACGGCAAATTCGACTTGTTCTTTCGTTTGCGCTTTCACCACGATTTCTCTTCCAACTTTAAGTCTAGGCTTTAGAAAAGCCTTCGTCATATCGTTAAGGGCCAAGCCGAGCAGATGTGACACCTTTTGTGCAGCTAAAATGTAGTTAATTAGTGGCATAACCAAAAAATAGTAGTGATAATTAGATCGTTATAATGACATTTTGATAATGCAAAAAGTTTCCTCAGTCGATACGAAGGATCCAGAGCAAAGCACATAAAAAAGAATCTTAGCTATTTAATATTATATATAAATTTCGTAAATAAGTAATTAGCAAGTATACATTATTCAAATAATGAATGAAATGCTTAGAGTATTATTGAAAAATTCGTTAAAATGAAAACCAATAATAATATATATATATATACTTTAATACTTACTGAGATATCTTAAATACAATCCCGAATAAACATTCGTCTAAACCTTGTGACTTGATTTCAAATATATAAATCACCACACTATACATTATATATAAAGTTTTTGAACTAATGAATACTAGAAAAAACGCTCTCCGCGCATGAAAAATAATATATATATAGGTAATCTAAAGTGGATAAGATTAATATTTCGGAGTCCAGAAAAGAAAAACGGAATCAGGATTATTACTCGTTGTGTTGAGAAAGAGTTAGAAATCAACAAAATTTAAATTCACACTTACTTGATTGATCCGGAAGTGTTGCCTGGTCAGAATTACGCTCATGTTTAAAATCAAGATCCCCTAGATGTAGAACGGCGGCAATAATTCGGAAAATAGCTATAATGAAAATTTATTAATAAGATATTAAAAACTAGGGCATGATTTCAGTTTGAAAAATTATGCAGAGTTACAATACAAAGAGATAGATTACCGTCCTGATCATCGTTTGAAATGCCCATAATATCCATCGCTTCTGTAGTTTCTCTAAATACTTGTCTTTCATCTATGCCAGAAACAGTAAGAAGGCCATTAGAAAGATAGCGCGGGTTGCGAGAGTTGTCTAGTAGCAGTTTTGCCTTTAGTTCCGAAGAATCTGACATAATTTGGTAAAATATATGGAAAGAACGTTCATCGGGTGCTTGTCTGATAACTCTAGCTTTCTCTAAAAGATCTAATATAAATAGTGTTAAGGAAAAATACACTTAAGGACGAGTCAAACATAATAAAAGGATACATGTTTCGACATT